GAGGAGAGTGTGTAGCGCTGAGCTAATACATATATATGGTGATAGCATCGGGGCTAACGCTAAAGCTAACAAGCTCGCTAGCAGCCTCGCACCGATGACCTTGTTGACATCATCATTTACCCAGAATGCTTTGCGTGTAAATAAAATGGCCCCGTCCGTGTAATATATTTTTAAACTTTTAGTTTAAAAATGATAAAAACTGAACATCCTACAGTATTTTTACAGTCTTTATTTTACAATTAAAGTATATTTTATCATATAAAATTTAATGTTACGACTAGTCCGGGATCCCTTTTTAAAGACCGTATCTCTGCAGCCTAGAGACTCCTGTGTCATGAGATGAGCTATGGCGCAGGAGGCTCCACGCTGCAACCCCCACCACTGGATCGGTGGAAGATGGAGGGTCATGCCCGGTGCGCCCACCCCATGCAAGGACTTGATAGCGAGACTGGTGCCAGAGTAGGCCAACACTTGTCAGCATTGTGGAGAGGAAAGACGTGTGCTCACCTCCTCGGTCGTCGATCACTGAGGCYCARTATTGTTCAGCATTAGTTTGTGCTAAATGACCAATCATTATCAGGACTACATATGCTACAGTAATGAGGTGAAAACAATAAATGGTTAGAGACAGTCCCCCTCACTCTCCAAAAAGGTTCAAAAACAGTATCACACTGGTTAGTATAAAATYTTAGCCAACATGGTGTATTTGCTTGAAACGGCTTATTAAATTAACGGTTTATGTTTTAATTTCACTGCTTTGATTGTTTGMTCTGATGTTTCCAGAAAGGACCGGTACTGAAAGTGGTCCATTTGAAGAGTGAAAAGTCTGTGGCCTTACCCATCTACACCTCAGWCTTGAGCCACCTCAGTGCCTCAGACTCCCCCCAGGAAAAAGTGAGCTCTCAAATAAAGCTGTTGTACATTAGATATGCTTTGTGATGGAGTCTGTAAATAAAACTACTTTGTGATTTTAAATTTCAGAAAGCTGCAGACAAGAAACAAACAAAGAAGAACAAGACAGAGGACAAGAAGAAAGTGGATAAACTGGCAGAGGGAAAGACTAAACTGAAGAAAAAGAGAAAAGAAGAYGAGGAGGAGGAGGAGATCCCACAGCTGGTTCCTATAGAAACACCAGCAAAAAAGCCTAAACAGGAGGTCGGTACTCTCTTATTTTAACTTCCTTCAAAAGGTTTTAGCTGGCASCTGGAACAGTTTATGGTTGTGATTTGTATTTAAGGATGTAAATATTTTTTTGTAGAAGCCATCTAAGAAGCAGAAACTGCAGAAAGCACCTAAACCTGTTGCAGCYAAGAAAGGAGTAAAAACCCAAAACAAACCGACCAAGAAGATCAACAAGACAGCAACTAAAGGAAAAAGAAAAGTGCTTAAAATGAAATGATTTGTTGTCTAAACTCAAAAGACACTTGACACCTTTCACAGGACCAGGCTGTTTGCAATGTCTTTGAATTTTGTCTTTTTTCTCAGTGAACTATATTATAAAATAATTATAAACTRTATTTGTCTTTTGTCCAGTTTATTTTAAATAAAACTTTTCAGCAGCAACTCTCTCAATACATTTGGCTCATTATAAAAATGAAGCTGGTGTTTTCAGTGGCTATTCTGATCTTCTGCATTGTGGTCACTACAGTGGTTGACTTCGATTCTAGTTTATTTTTTGCTGTTGTTACAACCTCTGGCAAAAATGATGGAATCAACAGCCTCGGATGATTTTCATTCAGTTTCATTTTGTAGAAAAAAAGCAGATCACAGACATGACACAAAACTAGTCAAATGGCAACTTTATGGCTTTAAGAAACACAAATCAAGAAAAAAATTGTGGCAGTCAGTAAACGTTCCTTTATTTTTTGGCCAAGCAGAGGTAAAAAATATGGAATCACTCAATTCTGAGTGTCACCTTCATTTACACAAGGTGTGTTGGAGCAGAGAGCATCTTGTTCAAATGAAGCATAAAGTGAGTTAACCCAAACACTGCCACCTACTGACAAATGTCAGCAACACAAAGTTCTCAAAACAGAAATTTGTTTTTTTATGTTGCACATAATTTTTGCTGTCTTAAGCTATTTTTTGTATTAATGTAATATGAATTGTTTGTAGAAAACTTTTAAAAATGAGACTTGGGTCAATGTTTATTATTTTAATAATACATCAAACCGGGTTTCTTCAAGGTCTTAGTCTAAAATMTAAAAATCCAAATTTTAGGCCTTAAAAACCTTTAGCAAAGAGTAGTGTTTTTAAGGTTAATATTAATAAGTATATTTGAGTATAAGTTTAAGTATATCAAGTATACAACGCACCATGTAAAGTACGCAGATTTAATACTTCGACTAATTTGGGACATTTTTGTGTTTATAAAAAGTATACTRTAAGTATACTGTGATAAGGTCTCRTTAAGTTTACCAAATTGTACATTCATTTATATACTACTAGTGTACTGTTTATGTACAAATTTTAGCTTGTTGAATTATTTAAAACATACCACAAGTATACTTTTATCTACTGCCATTCCACTAGTTCTATACTTATACTCCACATTTCAGTTTAAGTACATTTTTATGAATTACTAAAACTAAAATACAATTTTTGCCTTTTTTATTGTTGGGTATTTGTAACTTCCCTTAGCACTTTATTTGCAGAATACTATTTATATGCTGAAATATATGTCCTAAAGTATTCTTAAAGAAAGCACATACTGAATGTATACTACATTGTAATGTATTTACAAAATCACAAGACAGAATCTTGAGAACAACTTTGATATATTTACATAAAATTTTTTAAAGTACAAGTTTAAGTCTTAGTACTAATGTACTAAGTCTTAAACTTCTCTTTATACTTTTCAGTATAAGGCCAAATATTCTTCACTATACTATTCTTAAGTATATCAAATATAGTTTATACAAAGTAAACCTCAAGTAAGCCTACACTACATCAGTTTGTGTGTGTAAAATAAATATACTTGTATACTTAAACTACTTTTTGATAAAAGAAGTCTAAAATTCACTAATTTAAATTATTTTAAACAGGTCTTATTTTTTTAATGCCTATGTAAAGCTACTTCAAATGCTCAATAAAATTCTCCTGCGACACTTCTTTATTGATTGGATATAGTTACATCTGCAACCTATATTTCAGCCATATTAGTTAGCTTATAGTTAGCTTTTGTGTGCTTGGTGAGTCCACATCACTGGATGTAAAAGAAGAGCAGACGTTAACATGGGCAAATACTAATTTAACACTATGCTTCAAAGGGACGAGTTTCAGTTACAGCAAATTTCTTTGTCATTTTAAATTTCCTGATAAGGAGTTTGCGATTATCTTCCTTTATTTTCTTTTATCAACATTATTATTATTGACCTTCTTGTTTTTGAATGTATAAAATTCCACTCCCAGGCAAAATGTTTTATTTTTTCTTTTTCCTTTTTTTATTTTATCTTGTTTTGTATTATGTCAACACTTGAAATTTGTTAATTAAAAAAATGTTAAACTGGGAAGTGGGAATTTACAAGTTGTAAATTGAAAATAGATCGCCCCTCCAGAGGGAACTCACTGTCAGAAAGTGTGAGTTTATAATTCAAGATGGCGTCTACTCAACACAACTCATCAGTGACTAAAACTCTTACTTTTAATAGTATTTCTGTTGTATTTATTTCACACAGTCGGTTAAACACGCAGTACTTGTCAGTGTTTATTAGAGGACGTGTTGAAACTCTGTTTCTATGCAGGAAACACCAGGTAGAGCTCAGTTATTTTTTGTTAGTGGTGCTCAGGGCCACCATGATGCTCATGTGGTCATAAAGAACCTTCTTTTTTTAATTGTATGAACTTTTGACCTATTTTTAACTTGTGTTGCAAAATCCACCTCAGCCACACCTAGTTGTTTTTTTTTGCCTCCAATCTGAATTTTTCTTTCTTTTTCACTTTCAGCTGCTCTCATCAGCAGTCACCACAGCGAGCTAACTCACATTTTTATCATTATTTTTACATCTGATGCTTTAATCAATAAGTTACAGCTCACATGTGGAGCAGGGGGCTGCCATCATTGGCACCTGGGGGGTTAAAGGTCTTGATCGGAGGCTCAGAGTGGAGCAGCTGAAGGTGCTTCACCTTTRCCAKCCACATCCATGATGCAACAGTTGGGGGATTAACACTGACGAAAMGCTTCTCTAACTTCTGCACCACCACTCACCCAGATTAATTGTGTTTAATAATCTGTCAGAATATATTCCAGATGAAGTCAGTTTAACAGTATTTACAGTATTTAATGTCTTCAGTTTGATCTGATCTTCATCTAACCTGCAGTTTTTGCTTCATTCTTCATGACCTCATCCTTCTGCTCCTTTCTGTCCAGTTCTTCCTGTTTTCAGTCAAATCTAGAGTTTCTATGTTTTACACTCAGACGTTTCAGGAAACACAAGTTTTGTCCTCYGAGAGGTTTTCTTCTGCTCTCTGCTGCTGAAAAGGATTAAATCAAGTCCCTCTTTGCTCCCGAGTGTTTTCTCCTCCTGAGGACAAATGAATCAGATCCAACATCACGGTTTGATTTGCAGCTCAGGGTTTTTAAAGTCTCCACACAAAAATACACAAATATGATTTTCTACATTTCCTGTCATCAGAAAACATTTCAACTTTTTCATTTACAAAAAAAACATTTACAATGGTTTCACTTTTTCTTTCCTTTTTATTTCCAGGGTTTTAAAAGCTCCATCCTGAACTGGGCAGGTGGAGGGGGTCTAGAGAGGCCAGCAGGACCAACCAACGTGGGTCCACAAGAGACAGGTAGACCCTGGACAGGCAGGTGGTCCATCACAGACTGTTAGCTCCAAAAAACAGAATAAAGACAAGAAAAGAGAGAAATATTAATCAGATGTAGAAGTACACAACATTCTCCAGACTTTTCTTTAACAAACTTATTTACCTTACTTATTTAATCAGAAAGTTTTACATTTATAAAGAATTAAAATTAAAACTCTAAACATTTATTTTCAGAAGTTTCTTATCTTAAAATTTTTTTCCCCTCGTGGATAACCTGAAGAAAAAATATTAATGACTCTGCTGAACAACAGCTTCAAAACATTTCTTTTAAAAAGGACTTTGTTGTTCAGGTGTTAGCCCCGCCCCCTCCTGAAAATAAACACAAAATAGGAACATTATTATCAAGAACTTCCGTAAATACGTATATTTTAAACATTTCTATTAAAAAGGTTCTTACCTTTGTTGTTCAGGTGTTAGCCCCGCCCCCTCCTGAAAATA